TTGTCCTTCCCAGTGAGAAATGCGCACACAGCTGCTGTCATGTTTTTATGTGGACGGTAACAAAGATGATTTTATTTTCTTTCATCAGGAATAAAGATGCCGCTCACCAGATGGCCATCGGCGCCTACCCGGTGCCAGCAAGTTCCCAGTTCTCCAATCAGGTGAGAAAGAACGCTTAGTAGAAAGCTGGTGCCTTGGCAGTCTCTGGGGCTTGTAGGACTGAGCTGAGGTCTGGCTACACCATTAATGGATCTTACCGGAGATGGATGGATTGCAGTGCCAACAGTGATGCAGGTGAAAGCTGCTGTATTCATGTAGACGGGGCCAGGAACAGATTTTACATCTGACATTTCAATTAACCAGAGGCGGGATATTACTTTAAAGCAAACCTACAGCTTATCATTACTGAGTACTAGTGCTTGTTGTACAGCTTGGCAAAAATCAATGTTAGATGTGGAGTTTGGCATGCTTGCTGTCCCATATTTTCATTATTGTATTTCTGTCTTAAGCTGGCCATAGATCAGGGGTGGGCAAACTTTTTGACTTGAGGGCCACAAAGGGTTCATATATTGGACCCGGGGGCCGGACCAAGAGTAGATGAATGATGTGTATGTGTCATCCATAGTAAGTATAGTAATATTCCCCCATAGTAAGCATAATAATTAATCCCCCATATAGTAATTCATCCCCTATATCGGGTGTCGGCAACCCGCGGCTCCAGAGCCGCATGCGGCTCTTTTTCACCTTTGCTGCGGCTCCGGAGCACACTGCCCACCAGGTGACAGGCAATAGGGTTGCCGTAGCTCAGTGGTCGGCAAGCCGCGGCTCTTTTAACCTCCCTGGCGGTTTTCCCGAGTGTAGCTCGTGGTAGAATTTCTATACCACGAGCTACACTCAGGCTTACCATGCGGCGCTACTCTGGGGGTCCCTGCAGCACTTACCTTGTCCTTCGTTCCCGCGATGTGTCCCCTGCAGCATCCCCGGCCATCTCCTCCGGCCGATGCCGGCATCCGGCTTCTGTGTTCCGGTCCCCGTGACGTCGGGACGTACGGGCGCCGCCGGCGGCGGGAAATTTAAAAAATTTAAAAAATTTCTTTTTTTTTTTTTTTTTCAAATTTCAATAGTAAAACATTGCTGTTTCATCCCATTTCACATACATATTGTCCCTAGTGCTTTGTCCGGCGCCCTGCCTGCATTTTGTCTGTTCTTTCTGCCTGGAAACTTAGAAAAGTCCATGGCGTCCAAAAAGCGTCCCTTTAGGTCAAAAGCGGTTTTAGACCGGCTAGAGAACAGCGATAGTAAATCAGAACCACTTGCAGAATTGAGTGATAATGATTTGTGGGGAAATTTTCCTAAAAATTACAGCCTGCAATAAAAAACTATTTCCATGCGAAAAAATGGTACCGCTTTCAGCACAAAAAATCGGAAGGAATCATACCGCCAGGGAGGTTAATGCAGCTCTTCTGTGTGCCGGGCGCCCGCTCCCCTCCCTCCTCTTGGGCGGTCGCCCCAAAAGTCAGGACTCTGCAGCTAGCCTAGCAATGGGCAAACTACGGCCCGGCGGACCTTATAATCCGGCCCGCGGAGCGTGGCAAACATTGGCTGTCAGGATGTAGGCGGGGCAGCGTGACGAACTCCTCTCCTCTCACAGTCCGCCCTGAAGACCAGAACTGCGCGGGAACACGGCGAGAGGAACACGCGGAGTACAGGTAAGTGAATTGACACAATATGGGAATGAATTACTATAGGGGGAATGATGAATTACTATAGGGGGGATGAATTACTATATGGGGGGATGAATTACTATAGGGGGGATGAATTACTATAGGGGGGATGAATTACTATGGGGGATGAATTACTATATGGGGGATGAATTACTATGGGGGATGAATTACTATAGGGGGGAATTACTATAGGGGGGATGAATTACTATATGGGGGATGTATTTTCAGTTTTAAAAATGTGGCTCTCAAAATAAATTTTAATCGTGGTTTTGGCGAGATTTGGCTCAGTTGAAAAAAAAGGTTGCCCACCACTGACCTAAGGCTATGATTGTGATTATGATGATACACTGTGGCCCTGATTAACCCTTTGCTTACTGGGCCCTTAAACCCCCTTCATGACCAGAGCGCTTTTTGCAATATATGCAGTGTCGGATTTGTTTTAAATGTTGCAATGGTTTTGCGGCTCCCAGTCTTTTTTTCCCTCTCGGAAACGGGTCCAAGTGGCTCTTTATGTCTTAAAGGTTGCAGACCCCTGCCCTATATAGTAATTCATCCCCCATATAGTAATTCATCCCCCATAGTAATTCCCCCCCATATAGTAATTCATTCCCCATATTAAGTCCCAAAGTCCCCCCTGTGTCAATTTACTTACCTTTGCTCCGCACGTTCCTCTCGCCATGTTCCTGCGCCGTTCCGGTCTTCAGGGCGGACTGTGAGAGGAGCCTAGCTCCCCTCGCGTTCGTCACGCTGCCCCGCCTACACACATCCTGACAGCCATCCTGACAGTATCACGCTCCGCGGGCCGGATTAAAAGGTCCGCCGGGCCGTATACGGCCCGCGGGCCGTAGTTTGCCCATTGCTGCCATAGATGGATCAAATTTCAGCCGGGACTGGCCGAGATTCGATCCATCTATGGGCGCCTGCGTCAATCCACCGATTGACTTCAGGACAACCAGCCTGTCAGGTTTTTTTGCATGTGATTAATGCTGGCGGATATGTCCGCCAGCAGTGATCATTATGTTCTGTTGGCAGGGAACGCTCCACGCTGGCCGAACACAATAGCATAGCAGTAGGAATCCTCCCATCAACTCTGACTGTGTTGATGGGGGGGGGGGGGAGTGGAGAGATTTTCTTTCCTGCAATCCATAGTCATCATCTATGGCAGGGGTAGGCAACCTACGGCTCTCCAGCTGTTGCAGGACTACAAGTTCCATCATGCCTCTGAAAGTCATAGCTGTAACTGTCAATTTTGCAATGCCTCATGGGAAATGTAGTCCCACAACAGCTAGAAAGCTGCGGGTTGCCTACCCCTGATCTATGGCAATCACTAGATTGTTAAAATGCTTCCTCTTGTGGTCATCTCTAAATCGGGGAATGAGTGCCTCCTAAAGTGAACCTGTCCTTTACCACGTGGCAAAGCAGCTGGTTCTCGTAAATGCACACTTCCTGCCTGCTCATTCTTAGGGTCATGTACTCTGCAGCTGATAAACTCACGTTCAGGAGCTTTTCTGCGTTTTTTTTTTTTTCAGCAGCCCCTGAACTCTCCCTAATGTTTTCCTATGTGTCCGAGTACACATCATCGTTTACAGGTAGTTGAGTTTACAGTCGTTTGGTTTTTTTTTTTAACACCCCAAACGTGCGTTCAGGAGTAGTTTTACCGGCGTTCCAAGCGTGTGTAAACACGGTTAACCACATTTATAAGCGTTTGCGTTTAGAAGGGGTTTTTAACTGTTCCAGTGTGCCTGCAAAGTGTTTTCCATGTATTCAAATGGACCCAGGTACCACAAATGGACCCGCACAGCGCAGTCAGTTCCAGGTATTCAAATGGACCCGGTACACCAGCGCAGTCAGTTCCAGGTATTCAAATGGACCCGGTACACCAGCGCAGTCAGTTCCATGTATTCAAATGGACCCGGTACACCAGCGCAGTCAGTTCCAGGTTTCGTGTGAAGGAACAAATGGTAGAACGCGCCGCATTATGCTCATGATGGGATCCATAGTGAATACAACCAGAAAAGACAGTCATCTCAACACATACTGCTCTCTCTGCTTCTGCTCTCTCTATTCCTCTCAAAATGTTTGAAATAGTTAATTATTTACTATTTTTCAGTGCATTCTGGGCATTTGGGAAGATCTCCTGAGGTTATCTTTTAAAAACGCTTCTAAACGCAAACGCGCATAAACGCGGTATGCTAATGCAGCTAAGATGTTTTTTAACCTACGTTTTCCAGCAGTCAGTTTCTATCATTCAGAAGAGTTTTCCCAAACGCCCCGAGTACATGAGCCCTTACCTTTACTATCTGCTGCTCCGTTCTACTGCCAGAAGTGAAGAAAGTCAACCCTATGAAAGCTTCTGATCTGTCCATTTGAAGCTAACCCAGGGCTTAGGATCCCCCCCCCCCCCCGTAACGTGTGATCCATGTGTCACCAGAGGTTTAAAATGTAGTGAAGTTGTATGCTATACCATGGCTGGAAGTGTTCTCTGCTCCTGGCAGGTGAACAGAGATTGGGGAAGTAAGAGGCAAGTATAGGCTGCTCTGCTCCTGGCAGGTGAACAGAGAGGTTGGGGAAGTAAGAAGAGGCAAGTATAGGCTGCCCTGCTCCTGGGTGAACAGAGATGGGGAACAGAGATTGGGGCTCCTGGCAGGTGAACAAGTAAGAGGCAAGTATAGGCCCCTGCTCCTGGCAGGTGAACACAGAGATTGGGGAAGTAAGGAAGAAGTATAGGCTGCCCTGCTCCTGGCAGGTGAACAGAGATTGGGGATAAGAAGAGGCAAGTATAGCTGCCCTGCTCCTGGCAGGTGAACAGAGAGGTTGGGGGAAGCAAGTAAGAGGCAAGTATAGGCTGCCTGGAGGGAGGCATTGAACTTATTGCTTTGCCCTACATGATCATGTGTATAACTGAATGGTGCATACATAATGATTGGTAGTATTTTGAGCATAGGCCAGCATGGTGAATTCTGCCAGGAAGGGGGCTGATGACAGTCTGGGCTCATAGGAAGTGAATTAAACGACATTGGTTGGCATTCCACCCAGAAAACTAACAGCACCTAGTGGTGAGAGAGGATTACTGTAGGGGATAGCCTCAGATTACAGGTGAGCATTGAAATATAAGCTGCCTCTTTATTTTTACTTTTTACTCTTATTTTTTTTCCCCTGATATTTAGTCCTCATGCACACGGGACGTTTTTACAGCGGCTGTTTTTGGCCTTTGACATATTTTTCTGCAGCCAGTAAACCCCCCCCAGCATGTTATCCTACGTGTCCATCCCCGGCATGTTATCCTATGTGTCCATCCCCGGCATGTTATCCTATGTGTCCATCCCCGGCATGTTATCCTATACGTGTCCATCCCCGGCATGTTATCCTATGTGTCCATCCCCGGCATGTTATCCTATGTGTCCATCCCTGGCATGTTATCCTATGTGTCCATCCCCAGCATGTTATCCTATGTGTCCATCCCCGGCATGTTATCCTATGTGTCCATCCCCGGCATGTTATCCTATGTGTGTCCATCCCCGGCATGTTATCCTATGTGTGTCCATCCCCGGCATGTTATCCTGTGTGTCCATCCCCGGCATGTTATCCTGTGTGTCCATCCCCGGCATGTTATCCTGTGTGTCCATCCCCGGCATGTTATCCTGTGTGTCCATCCCCGGCATGTTATCCTGTGTGTCCATCCCCGGCATGTTATCCTATGTGTGTCCATCCCCGGCATGTTATCCTGTGTGTCCATCCCCGGCATGTTATCCTGTGTGTCCATCCCCGGCATGTTATCCTGTGTGTCCATCCCCGGCATGTTATCCTGTGTGTCCATCCCCGGCATGTTATCCTGTGTGTCCATCCCCGGCATGTTATCCTACGTGTCCATCCCCGGCATGTTATCCTACGTGTCCATCCCCGGCATGTTATCCTACGTGTCCATCCCCGGCATGTTATCCTACGTGTCCATCCCCGGCATGTTATCCTACGTGTGTCCATCCCCGGCATGTTATCCTACGTGTCCATCCCCGGCGTGTTATCCTACGTGTCCATCCCCGGCATGTTATCCTGTGTCCATCCCCGGCGTGTTATCCTACGTGTCCATCCCCGGCATGTTATCCTACGTGTCCATCCCCGGCATGTTATCCTACGTGTCCATCCCCGGCGTGTTATCCTACGTGTCCATCCCCGGCATGTTATCCTATGTGTCCATCCCCGCGTGTTATCCTATGTCCATCCCCGGCGTGTTATCCTACGTGTGTCCATCCCCGGCATGTTCTCCTATGTGTCCATCCCCGGCATGTTATCCTATGTGTCCATCCCCGGCATGTTATCCTATGTGTCCATCCCCGGCATGTTCTCCTATGTGTCCATCCCCGGCATGTTCTCCTATGTGTCCATCCCCGGCATGTTCTCCTATGTGTCCATCCCCGGCATGTTATCCTATGTGTCCATCCCCGGCGTGTTATCCTACCCATCCCCGGCATGTTCTCCTATGTGTCCATCCCCGGCATGTTATCCTACGTGTCCATCCCCGGCATGTTATCCTACGTGTCCATCCCCGGCATGTTATCCTACGTGTCCATCCCCGGCATGTTATCCTACGTGTCCATCCCCGGCATGTTATCCTACGTGTCCATCCCCGGCGTGTTATCCTACGTGTCCATCCCCGGCGTGTGTGTCCATCCCCGGCATGTTCTCCTACGTGTCCATCCCCGGCATGTTCTCCTACGTGTCCATCCCCGGCATGTTCTCCTACGTGTCCATCCCCGGCATGTTATCCTACGTGTCCATCCCCAGCATGTTCTCCTACGTGTCCATCCCCAGCATGTTCTCCTATGTGTCCATCCCCGGCATGTTATCCTACGTGTGTGTGTCCATCCCCGCATGTTCTCCTATGTGTCCATGAACACATAGACTGTAATTAGCGTTTTTTGGATGGAAATAAACCCAGAACTAGTGGGTTACTCAGAGTTTTTTTTTTAGCTGTAAAAACACTCTAACGCTAAAAAACGCTGCAAAATGCCACAAACCGTCGTTTTTTCACTTTTTTGACCTAAAAAAGTTTTTCTTTAGTAAAATAAAAACAGCTAAAAAAGTAAATGCGGGAAAACGCAGCTAAACGCGGATGCAAAAAAGCTGAATAACAGCTAACGTTACCAGCATTATCAAAACGTCCCGTGTGCATGTGGGTTTCTAGAGGAGTTTTTTAGCTGTAAAAACGCTCTGACGCGGTTAAACCAGCGTTTTTGGACATTTTTTGAGCCAAAAAAAGCTAAAAATGCTAATGCGGAAAAATGCAGGAAAATGCAGAAAAATACCGCCAAACGCTAATGCAAAACCGCAAAAAAAAACTGAAGAACTCCGGTTTTTAATGTGACTTTACACAGCGAACGTTCCCAGCGTTCTCAAAACGTCCCGTGTGCGTGGAGCCTGAATATTAAAAGCATTAAGTTGCTGTTGTAATTTTTTTATTGATGGTTACATTTCATGTAGAGCATCTCTGAAGAATGATTTCATCATCGCTCAGCTCCTTTATAATGTGTGAATGCCAAACAAAGCCTGAAGATGGGATATTCTTTGCTTGTTTGTTGGCTCTTCTACAGTATCGCCCCAGAGAGGAGCACACGGAGCACAACATACATCATTTTCATTCTTCTATAATGCTGATGCACAAATATAAAAAAAGCAGCGTGACACCTTTCAGAACATATTTCCTTCATTATAGCGGCAATGCTTTTACACCCTGAACGTGAAGGCTGCGGGTGAAGGACGGGCCGCGCTCATCTACCGAGCATACAGAAAGCTTTATTTTCTGTAGTCACCCACAACTACATGATTATGAGCTGGAACTCGTGTAGTTGTCAGATGTGGAATGTTGGGAAGATTTAGGATTTATTTTATTTATTTTTATTTATTTATTTCAGGTACTTGTATAGCGCCGTCAATTTACATATATATTGTACATTCACATCAGTCCCTAACCCTCAAGGGGTGTACAATCTAAGGTCCCTAACTCACATTCATACATACACATACTAGGGACAATTTAGACAGGAGCCAATTCACCTACCAGCATGTCTTTGGTGTGTAGGAGGAAACCAGAGTACCTGGCAGGCACAGGGAGAACCTGCAAACTTCAGGCAGGAGGTGCCCTGGTTGGGATTCGAACCAACGACGCCAGTGCTGCCAGGGGGAAGTGCTAACCATTTATCCACTGTGCTGGATTTAGACAGAAATCTCAGGGATGAATTATTAATTTGCTACTATGTGGCTTTATATTCATATGGTTAGCACTTCCACTTGGCAGTACTCGGGTCGTGGGTTCGAATCCCAACCACGGCACCACCTGCCTGGAGTTTGCATGTTCTCCCTGTGCCTGCATGGGTTTCCTCTGGGTACTCCAGTTTCCTCCCACACTCCAAAGACATGCTGGTAGGTGAATTGGCTCCTGTCTAAATTGTTCCTAGTAATATATTTTGTCCTTCTTTTATAGGGATTACGATCTCCAGAAATGAACAGAAAAATGCAGAGCAGAAGGGGTCAGGGATTGGATGGGGGGGGGGGGGGTGAAACAATAAATGTTTTGATATTATGCTAAGGTTTTAATGAGTATGTTTGTATAACTTATAAAAAAAAGTCCTTAGTATGTGTATGTATGAATGTGAGTTAGGGACCTTAGATTGTACACCCCTTGAGGGTTAGGGACTGATGTGAATGTACAATATATATGTAAAGTGCTGCGTACATTGATGGCGCTATATAAGTACCTGAAATAAATAAATAATCATAGCACAGTGGCTAAATGGTTAGCACTTCAGCGTGGCAGTACTAGAGTCATTGGTTTGAATCCCAACCAAGGCACCACCTGCCTGGAGTTGGCATGTTCTCCCTGTGCCTGTGTGGGTTTCCTCTGGGTACTCCAGTTTCCTCCCACACTCCAAAGACATGCTGGTAGGTTAATTGGCTCCTGTCTATATTGTCCCTAGTATGTGTATGTATGAATGTGAGTTAGGGACCTTAGATTGTACACCCCTTGAGGGTTAGGGACTGATGTGAATGTACAATATATATGTAAAGTGACGGCGCTATATAACTACCTGAAATAAATAACGAAGATCTTTAGAGAAAAAAAAAAAGCCGTGCAATCTGATCAGACGTAGAGCTATCAAACAAATGAAGTCTGTGGGTGAGAGCGGGTGCAGCATAGTAAACAGACAACAAATGCCAAGAATGATTTGCTGCCAAGTTAGTAAATCTTAGCTTTTCAGGGATGTTACTATCAGTGATGGCCAAGGATGTGCATGCCTGATGTGTGTCCGGAAATTCATTTAAAAAGCTAGCTTTAGATTTTCAATTAAAACGCCGGATGTTTATATAGAGATTAATTAACCACTTCCAGTCCGGACACTTTCCCCCCCCTTCCTGTTCAGGCCAATTTTCAGCTTTCAGCGCTATCACACTTTGAATGACAATTGCGCGGTCATGCAACACTGTACCCATATGCATTTTTTAGCATTTTTTTTTTTTAGACATAAAACTTTATTTTGGTGGTATTTTTTCACCCCTGGGATTTTTATTTTTTTTTTTTGCTATATAAATGAAAATGTCCAAAATTTTTGAAAAAGTGTTTTCTTATAAAATTTTGCAAATAAATAATCTTTCTTCATAAATCCTGGCCAAAATGTATTTGGTTATCCTTTTAGTACAAAAAAAAAAAACAAAATTAGTTTATAACCAAAAATTATAAATTTTCAAAAAAAGTTTTACTTTTTTTTTTATTTTTTATATTTTGTTTTTTTACATACTGTCACCCTAGCAGTACAGTGTGACCATAGTACTTGTGGGGGGTGATGAAGATTTTTTTTTTCTTTTTTTACACATGCATAAAGCCTGTAAAAGCAATCATTTCTCCTTCTCTCTGGCTGCATTCTTGCAGCCATTGAGAAATGCTGTGAGAGCTGTGATTGGTCACAGCTTTTCACATGGTACAAGGCTGTTGTGAATAGCCCTGTACCCTGTGATCTCTGTGATCATTCACAGATTTCACACGTTAGTAAGCAATGATGTCAGAAGTGACATCTTGCTTAGTACTCTTCGTATGATCACTGACTGGCCAATCAGTGATCACATGATCGGGACCTCACACACAGGTCCCATACAATGATCGGATGCTGCGCACTCCCAGGGAGCGCACTCAAGCAGGGAGGACGTTTATAAATGGCTAACCGCTCCTGCACTGCTTCCGTCCAACAGTTTATATACATGGGCCGGACGGGAAGTGGTTAAAGAGATGCTGACACCTTGCCCATTCAGTTACCAGCACCCCTCCACAATTGGTTAGGACTCTTGCACTCCTGAGTAAAATATGCTGAATTGTTTTCTGAAGTGTGATGCAATGTTGTCTATAGGACATTTGAACATCGTAAAGATCAGTAATACAGCATTGAGTACAGAGGGGCTCATGTACACTGCAGCTGATAAACTCGCTGTTCAGCGTTTTTTTCAGCAGCCCCTGAACTCTCCCTAATGTTTTCCTGTGTGTCCATGTACACATCGTCGTTTACAGGCATTTGAGTTTAGTTTTTTTTTTAACGCA